CAAATATATTTTTTATGTAATATCTACTAAAACAAGAAACAATAATAAAATTCACTTAACAATAAACATTATGTTATAGAATGATTAAGACTTGTGTATTTTGTGAAAACTAACAATCTAAATTAATTGTTGTTATTAAATTAAGAGATTATATTTATCTCAAAAATTAACAAAACATAAATTTTATATAAGTTTATAAATGAGTTTAAGAATATATATTATATACATTTATTATGAGTCTAGCAATACAATATACAATTATAAAAAGGAAAAAACATTAAATGAGTCTAACAATACATATTAAACATCATACACTAAATATAGCAAAAACAAATTAGATGAATATAGCGATACACATTAAACAAGGTTCATGAACTAATTAAACAAGTCTATTATGAGTCATTCAAATAATTATTGGATTAGTCTATTTACACACATTAGACAACTTGTGAAACCCTAGAAAATGGTGTTTTAGAAGTGGTGATTGTCTAAAAATAGTGAGACTCGATTATTTTAATATTAAACAGTTTTATTATAAATAATTTTGTTATAAACGAGTTTCATTATTTTAAAACGTACCATCTCTCTATAAACTACTTTTCTAGAGTTCTCTACTTTTTTCTCTAAGAGTTCTTGATCTCAAGTAATCTATTTGACGATCAGGAGGTGCCTAGACGATCATGGCATCAAGGTCCACAACCTCAACCGATCAATTCATTGTTTAGAGCAAGTAAGTGAAAAACCCTTTTCTTTGGTATTCTAGGGTTCTTTATCATGCACGATGTTTTTTGTTTTGCATGGATCAAGACTCTCTTTTCTTTGTTTCTTGGTTCAATTGAGATTCTAATGTTTCTTTTTAATCACCAATCGGTGAGTTGTAAGTGTTTTAGAAATTCCTTGCGGTGCAAGCCTCGGTCGGGGTACTTTTAGAGCTGGGAGTTGGATAGAGGTACGGGAAGCTAGATAATTGCTTTTAATTGAAGTATGTGGTGTGAGTTTGATGATATATGAGGATTTAACTGTTTGGCTGAAAAATGTTGTTTTGTGTTAGTAATAATTTAAGTAATTGGGTGAAATTCATGTTTTGTATGTTGATGGATTTTGTAAACATGTGAAATCTGTTGTGTGTATGTTTGTGATGTTGAAATTGATGTTGATGAAGTGAATTGTGCTAATTGAACTGTTAAAGGAAAAGAGTAATCTTGGTTGTGGTTATTTGGTCTAAAATAGGGTCTAAGGTAGTGAAATGGTGAGAAACGGTTGATGAATTGATTGGATGAAGTTTGGGTTGCTTATGAAGTAGTTTGAGTCATGTTCAAAACTTTAATTGTAAGAGAATTGAGTTAGGAGTGTGTGGTGGTGAATGTGTAGAGTTCAAGTTGGTTTAGAACTTGTTTTTGAGGAAGTGGAGCAGTGAAAACTTGAGTTTGGGGTTTTGTGTGCAAATGGTCAGTTTGAATAGTCTTGGTAAGTCATATGGGACTTGTTAGAGTTCCTAAGTTAATTGAAATTGTGCCACAAGTGGTAGAATTCAATTTGAGTCTCTAAGTTGAGCTTTTGTGAGTTTTTGATTGAGATCATGTAGCTACTTGTTTAGATTGATGTTAGAAGGGTTTAAACACACTTAGATAAGTTTAATTAAGTATATAACACAATATAGGAGAGTTATAAGTTGGGAAAAATAGTTAGAATTGGTAAATTTGGTGTAGGTTGCGTAATTCTGCAGATTTGGTGCTGTAGAATTATTCAGACTCGCTGAGCGAGTAGATTCGCTCAGCGAATGGTGATAGAGGTGGGTTGTCTGTCTATGAACTTTCGCTTAGTGAATGGTATGCGCTAAGCGAATTGTTTAAGTTTGGGAGCACTATCAATTTTATTCGCTCAGCGAGTGGTGGTAGAGGTGGGTTTTCTGTTTGAGGACTTTAGCTTAGCGAACATAATTGGTGCGCTGAGCGAAAATATCAGATTTTTAATGTGTTGTGATTCAATGTGAAAGTATATGAATATAAGTATGGTTCAAAATGGATTCAAGGAAAAGGTGATATGATATCAATGGTTTCATGGTTGGTAACTTGGGTTCTACGGGGAACTCCTTCGGTATGGTTTCAAGTGTTGATAGTATGAATAGTCAGAGTTAGTCAGGGGTTTATCCTGACATTCTAATGATCATCCAAGCTCAAGTAGAGAGTGATGAGTCATGTGGTGAGAATAGCAGGAGGTCCTAGTCTACGGGTTTTACCTTGGCCTAAGGCGAGTGATAACGGACTAACCTGGTGTGGTAGCTTGGGGTGGTCCAGCTGTTCCACCACACTAGTACAAAAACCTCTATAACTCAACATTCCATAGAATATTCGGATAGTCAGTCTAGGTTTTTGTATGTTAAGATGTTTGGGTTAATGTACGTGATATAAATTATTTATGTATGTTATATTATAAAGGTGATATGAATTGCTTTGTATCTAGCTTACCCTTATTTCTGTGTTGTATATTGTGTGTTGTTTCTCTTTGCGATGATCACCTGAATGATGTGAGCTTAGGGATACAGTCTTTCCAGATGTTCTAGTAGGAGGTGAGGATGAAGAAGGTGGGAAGTCAGATGATTCAACAGGTGTAGAGCTTGTCATTTGTAGATTTGTTTTTTTTTATAGTGGTTCCATTATCTTATATGTGATATTTCATTTTAGTAGTATTTTTACTATTAAAAATGGGATGTTACACAACTCAATTAATACACATTACATATTAGACGAGTATTGCAATACACATTATATGAGTATATGCATATAACAATTAAATAGAGTTTAACAATACACATTAAACAAATATGTCCATATATATTGATTAGACGGCCTAACAGTAGATACTAGACAAGTTTGGGAATTCACTGATTAAATAATTTTAACAATACACATTAGATTAATTTGTTCATATATTGATTTGTATTTTTAGCGAGAATATTCTACATATTTTTACAAAATCTATCATTTATATTTTTAGATAGTGAACTGTATATTTTTGCACATGCTTTATCTTTTTTATTTTTACAAAATTCTACTTTTCACATTTTTAGAGATATTAATTTTCTAAAACGATTTTTATTAATTTTATTCAAAGCTTAATTATAAATTTAAACATATTTTTTTCTCAATCTCAAAATCGTTTTTAATATAATATATATTTACTAAATAAATAACATATACTAAAAAAATTATGTATAGGTACAAGTTTAAAATCTATTATAATATAAGAAAATTACAAAGAATTTTACCTTCTTGTTCATATTTATTCTCCTAAATAATGTTGTTTAGAGTTAATTTGGTAAGTTTTGTAAAAGATTCCATTTTATGCTTTTTCAAGATGGAGTATGCAGATTTGATGATCTTTTACAGAATGGGATGCTTGAATATAATGATTTTGATGAAGAAACCAACATTTTGGTTTTCGCTTTATTCCAATTACACTTTCTTTGGGTAGAGATAGGAGTAGTTAGTTTGAATATATTACGGATTAAATTATAAGAATAGGACGAGTTATTTCTAACTATTGTAATTATTTAGGATGGTAGAGTTCAACATATTGAGCTCTAGTACACAAAGTAATGAAATATTTTTTTTTATTCTTGATTTTTTAAGGTTGGTACCATAAATTTTTTTTTTCATTCAAAATTTATTTAAATTAAGTGAAATAAAATAAAAAGTTAAAAAATGAAAGAAAAATTTATTGTTAATTTATTGATGATAAAAAAGTTATATGAATTAAGTAATATCATGAATTATCAAAATATTCTTTACTAAAATTTAATAAAATGAATTAAATTGAAAGATGAATAATTAATATCATGTACTACTATCCATAATTATAGAAAATAATTTAATGAAGACAAGTAGTTTTTAGAAATATAAATTAAAATAAAAATATATTTTGAATTAATAAAGAAACATTTTAAAAACTCTAATAAAAAATTATATTTTACAACATATTAACATTATTTTAAAAAATAAGTAAAATTTAAATTATTTTATTTATTCATTATTTTAATTATTTATCTTATTATAATGTAAAATATTAACTATTGTGTTATATGTTTTTTATAACATTTTAACACAATATACCTATTTTATTTTACTGATATATTAATATATTTTAAATTAAATTAAAAGAATGATATGTATTTTATGTTAAAATATTTTCAAAAGAATGTATATTAACCTAGGTTAATATATCATGTCTAGTGTGTAAACATAAATTTGGTGTGATTAACTATGGTTGGAATGTTCTTTATTTAACTGTGAAAGCAATGTAGTAAAGGAAAAAACACACTTGTGCCATCTTTCCTTTGATGAAACCAATTGAGACTCTGTTTTTCCTTTCCAACTCACCATAATGCCTTGAGTGTTTTGTTTCAATTCTCGCTTTTTCTTTTCCCTTTCATACTGTCACGTCTTCTAAGTATCATCTACCACCTCTTTTTCCTTCTCTTTGATGTCAACCCAACAATTTTAATTACTACAAAATTTGAAACTAATAATTCATAAATAAATTTATATAAAATTAATGCACATTCTTTAATACAAAATCATAACATAACAATTTTAACATTTTCACCTAATATGATATTATCAATTTATATTGAAATTCATGACAGAGAGACTCTTAAAAAGAAAGAATACAGCTTCTATTACCTTTTACTGTTGCTATAAATCAAGAAAAAGATAAATCATGTTTCCCTTGTTTGTTTTCTACTTAAATAAATGTATGGAAATCCAAAATTATTGATTTGGTGATGAAATCGACTTTGGTGGTGTACAACTATAAATATTCTCTTCTCTTCTACTGATGCAAGATGATATTTAGGATTTTCTTTTCATTTCATCATTTTATATATATACTACATTAGTAATCAATAAAATATTTGGATTCTCATTATATGTTTGTTTATTTGGATTCTCGTAGAGAGAGCATGGTATATTGAAAGTGTTGGTTCTATTATTAATCCTCGTGGAACTCGGGAGTATGGGTGGCTGTGGGGGCATTGGTGTGCTGACCAATTTTTGTTGCTGACTCCAGTATTCTCTCGCATGTTGGTGTGACAACAAGAAATGGCTAAGAATCCAGTGAAATACTCTGTGGTATGTATGTCTTGTCTGTGAAATTAGATGTTTTTGAATTAGGTTTGTTCTCAAAGTCACTAATGCAGGTTGACGCGTTCACCGATTCAGCTTTCAAGGGAAACCCCGCAGCAGTGTGTTTCTTAGGAGAAGAGAGGAACGAGGAGTGGTTGCAGGCGGTTGCCACCGAATTCAATGTCCCTGTCACCTGTTACTTGACTCGCATTATGGGAACTTCTAACAATCCACGTTTTCACTTCAGATATTTTACTCATCTTCACGAGGTAAAATTTTCACCAGTATTTAATACATGTTCTAATTGTCTTCTGATCAGAGATTCATCATAGAAAATTGTTCATTCACTTACTTATTTAGTGCACGTTTTTCTATACCGCATTATGACAAGAAACATTATCCGTAAAAGTTGTGCACCACACAGTAAGCACATGCACTCCTGATTTTTGGTAATAATGTCTCAGCTTTCTCGAAGTTTTCTCTATTCTTGTCCTGTTTGATGATGTTCAGTCAATGAGCCCCACTTGGTAGCAAAATATGTTCTTTGAGAATCCAAACATCACTGTACAGGTTAAAATTTGTGGCCATGCCACGTTAGCTGCTGCACACAAACTATTTTCGTCTGGTTTGGTGGATACCGATGTTATCGAGTTTTATACTCTATCTGGAGTAGTGACTGCCAAAAAGATCACAGCCGTTGATAACTGTAATGGTGTCTCAAACTTGCAAAATGGTGGAGTTGGTGATGGATTTTATATCGAAATAGATCTTCCTGCTCACCCTATTATAGAATGCAACTTGGATGAGACTTCACAAATTTCAGGGGCATTGAATGGTGCTTCCATCATTGATATAAAGAGGACAGAAATTGGTGATGACATACTAGTAATTCTTGTATCTTATCTTTTCCATATATATTATTTCCTAATTCGCATCGGTTACAGCTTTATGATTTGTCTTAGGTTGTGGTTACATCTGGAGATAATGTGAGAGAAGTGGAGCCCCAATTTGATGCAATAAGTAGATGTCCTGGAAGAGGGGTGATTATTTCGGGAGTTGCTCCTCCAGGGTCAGGATTTGACTTCTATAGTCGGTTCTTCTGCCCAAAAGATGGAGTCAATGAGGTAATTATTATTGTTCTTACATTGCATTCTGAATGTCTCCTTAAATAATGGTATTTACTTTCAGGATGAGGTGTGTGGGAGTGCACATTGTGCATTGGCATCGTACTGGAGCAAGAAGTTGGGGAAATGTGATTTCAATGCTTATCAGGTATTTTCCTTCTACCGTTGTGATTATCTTTGTTATGCGGCACTAACAAGTAAATTTGACTTAGCAGGTATCAGGCAGAGGGGGAATTCTCAAAATTCATTTTGATGAGAAAAGCCAAAGAGTGCTTTTGCGTGGGAAGGCCGTAACGGTGATGGAAGGCTGTGTTATGGTCTAGTTCTTTCCCTACCACTACGTCTCTTCTCTTCATTATTACTTGGTTGGAATAACTTTTTTCTTTTTTCTTTTAACTTTCTGTATTAGTTTACGATACATTAATTCCTTACGGGTTAAGCTGCGTGGACACCTTCATTTCGTACTACATGTTTTATTTAATAAAGATTGCATTACTTCCATAAATAAAATCTTACAATTATTTTCATTAATATCAAATTTAATCCATAATCATCTGAATTTATATTACTTTAAATATATTTCAATGATTTTTATCTCAAATTCATAAATTTTTATTTTAAGTATAATTCATTTTACTAGATTTGTATTGGATAATTTTTTAATTTTTGAAAATCTAAAGTCAAGTCATCAAGGTGTGAAATGTTAAGTTATATTAGACTTAAGTAAGATAAGACCGCATTAAGTTATGCCAATTTCATACAAGATCAAGCCAAGGTAAGTTTAAAGTCATACAAAGTTGGATTGGGTAAAGTTCAATACAAGACAAGTTAGATTGATTCACGTCAAACTCAAGCTATGCTAGACTAGACCTAGGTTAAGTTGGGTCAAACCAAACCTAAGTTAGATTGGATTAAGCCAAATCCAAGTTAGCTTGGATCGAACCATCTCAAGCCTAACTAAAGCTAGGTTAGGCCAAATCAAGATTAGTTTTAGCTAGGTTGAGTTCAAGTCAATTTAAGTTGGGTTAAAATCGTGTCAAGTTGGTCAAGTTGGTCAAGTTGCATTGAATTGAGCTCAAGTCAAACCAAATAAAGGTCAACCCATATTAGGAGTAGTCGAGCCAAATCCAAGTTAGGCTAAGTTAATAATGCTTATGTTAAGCTAAGCCAAATTGAGCTTATTTGAGTGGGGTTGTTAACTCGGCTCAGATCCACATCAAATTGAGTAAGCTTCAGCTTAGGCCAAGTTGAGTCATCCTAGGTCCACTTAAAGTTGAATCAACACAGTCCATTTTAGGGCGAATAAAATCAAACCCAAATTTTGTTGAGTCAGGGCACACACACAAGGAAGAATAAAGTTGAGACCAAGTTGGGCCAGGTTAATGAGACTTAGGTTAAGCAGAAACAGGTCATGCCAAGGTCAAGTTGAGTTGGACAAGGCCTAAATTGAGCCAAGTCAACCAAGATTCCACATTTAGTTGAGTGGGCTCCAATCCACATTGGTTTAAGTCGAGGTAAAGGTCAATTGAGTTGGCTCAATCCTAGGTCAAACTAAGTTAACTTGGTCCACATCAAGTCAAGTTAGAACAAGCCATCTCAAGTTGAATTGGATCTAGACCTAGTCAAACATGCTAGAGCAAGTGTGTAAGGCCCAAGTTAGGTTGAGTTAGGCTTGACCCAAGTTAAGTTGAACCTAAGTTGGATTGAGTCAAGTTGGGTTCAAGTCAAGTTGATGTGGCTTAGGTCCGTACTAAGCTAACTCAATCCAATCCTTACTTGAGCCTAGTCGACATGATCAATGTTAAGTTGAGTCAGGATGGGTCTTCATAAAAAAAATTAGGTTAAGACTAAGTCAGACCAAGTTAACCATGTATAAGAGATCTAGACTGAGTTGGATAAGGCTCAAGTTAGGTTGAGTGGCCCTAGGTCCATGTTACGACCAAGTCCAAAACAAGCCAAATCAGTCTAGTTGAGTCAATCGAACCAAGGTCAGGAAAGGTAAAAGTTAGGCCAAAGTGACATAGGTCAAGTTAGTTCATGCCCAACTTAAGTGTGGTTAGGTTGAGATGGGCCCAAATAGGTTAGATTGGATTGATATGTATCCAAATAAGTTAGTTTGAGTTGAGCTCATGTTACATTGGGTTTGTTCTGATCAAGGCCAAATAGAGACTAAGTCGAGTTAAGTCAAAGTAAGTTTAGGTCATGTTGAATTAAGTTTATGTTAGGCTTGGTTAAGTCTAGTCCTAGTAAAGATAGGTCAAACCATTCCTAACTCAGGTTAGGCTTTAAGTCTAGGTAAGCTCAAATCACGATAGGTTAAATTTAGCTTAAGCCAAATTTAATTTAAAATGTAGGAATATGAAATTCTTCTCTTTTCTTATTATTTGAAATCTATAAAATTTATCTTCAAATTCTCTATCTGACTTGAAATTAATAGAACATCGTCGAGTTTGTTTTTGTTAATATGTCATTGTCTAAATTGAGATAGGATACCATCAATTCAATATATATACTTTTTTTTTTGTTAATATCAGCAAAATTTTTCTTTTAGATTAAAATAAACTATGATGATTTTTCTCATAGTCCCCATCACCAAGATTTGTTTGGTGATATAAATCACTATTTTTTTCTTTGTTTATTAGTCAAACATTAATGGTTGTTGGCAACATATGATTAATTGATTTTGGTGATACTTGTATAGTTTTTGTTGGTTTCTCTCTTGATGACTTATTATCTTAATTAATTTGATCAAAATGTAAAATATGAATCAATATCTAAAATAATCTTGAACATATTTACATAAAAAAATTTATTTTATGTTACTTTCGAACATAATAGTCGATTATACATGTTGAGATTATAATAAATTATCTAAAGATGATCAAACTTCAATTTTACTCAAAATTACGAACTTTCTATTATTTCAAACTGTTTTGAAAAAACACAACATTTTATAAATAATCAAATTATCAATTATTTTAGACAATAATTATTATATTAAACTTATTTAAGAAATATCTCACATTTATTAATAATTGGTTATGTTTTATAATAATCGATAGAAAATATAGTAATCGATTATTTTAAACATAATTTATTAAATTAGTAAGTGGCCTTAAAACTCTTTTAAAAGAAAAACTCTCTTTTTCATGCTTTTTTTTTTCAGAAAAGAGAGCGGATCATTATTTTCTAAAAGAGACATAATGAATGTCATACGTTACTTATTGTTTGGAAGGTGATCATGCTATAGATTTTTCATTTTATAATTAGTCATATCATAGATGATATCTATCTTTTATATTTCTTGTGATATCTATCTTTTATATTTCTTGTCATTTGATTTGAATTTGATGCATGTGTATCAGTGCAGCTAATTGAGTATATTCATTAACTTAAAATCTTTTTGAAATATGTTTCAAGAAGTGAATTATATATATAATTCTACTTACATATAATTAACAAATTCATATAAAATTGTCTGGATTAATTAAATGTAAATTTAAAAAGAATCGAATTAGTATAAAAAATATTTATTTATTTCTTTGATATTTTTTTTTTGTATTTTTTTGGAGTTCATAAATTGTTCATCACTTCATAATAATCTTTCTTTATTGACAACTTATAAAAGGTTTTCTAAATTATTTTTAGTTGTTTTTCTATCTATGTCAATCAAAATTTGTCACATTTATTTCTTCAACTAAGGCTAATTAGGTTATTTAGGCTAATAATGTCAACCACAGTTTTCTTTTCACGTTAATAAAATATTTTTCGACCAATGTAATTCAAGGTTTTTTAATCAATTTTGATAGAAGATACTCTTTAATTGGCATTTTTATCTTGTAATGTAGGCTAGTGATATTTTTATTTAATTGAATTTTGTAGAAATTTTCTCAGCCAATATTGGTAAGACTATTTTTAAGTGGATGTCGATAGGATTTTTTTTTGGGGTTAAAGTGTGTAGTAATTGTTTTTTTCAATGTCTGGAGGAATTATTTGTTTCTCGATAAAGATGGCTAGTGATATTTGACGATAATTGAAATGCTTTATACGAAAAAATAAAATTTAATATATACAATTTTTTATCTAAACAAAACATTTAAATAATTAAACAATTAAAATGAAAAAGAGTTGAAACTTAATATATTTTAATTTCTTAAAAGTGATTAAATTTCCTATAAAATAACAATAAAATTCTTGTTAGCATATTAAAAGTATAATATATAGAAAAGTTATAACAACCTTAATACGAAGAAACAACAGATTGTTACTAAACTAAAAATAAATATTGGGAGATCACACCTAACTAAACTTACTAATTGGATGAGAAGATTGTATAACATTTTATCATGGTAAATAGTGGATTAGTATAACAAGTATATTAACATGATTACTTTTCAGTGCCATAAGAAAAAAAACTACAGTCTTAGTGCAACAAACTCTAATTTTATTAATTTTATTTAAAATGAGTAGGTTAATATAATTGAATATGCATTTGATATTTAGTAATTAACACATATATTTATTAAATTAAAGAAAAAATTAAAGCTAATGTAATAATTTAAAATTTAAAAAATAACCCAACAAAGACATATTTTAAGATTAATTATATGTTATTTTAATTTTTTATCTTTAAAAAACACATATCAATTATTAAAAATCAAACATGTATTATATAACTTAACCATTAATAAAACTAAAACAAAATAAATAAAATTACTTTTTTAAAAGAATATAATTAAATATATTTTTAGTCCCTAAATTATTACATATTTTTTGTTTTCGTTTCTTCTCTAAACTTTGATCTATTATGTTTCTCTCCTTTTAAAAGGTTACATATTTAATCTATCATACCCAATGCGCACGGTAGTTTTTTTTATTTTTTATTTTATTTTTTCTAACGTGACAAACACTTTGTTACCTTTTAAGACATGTGTATTATGTCCTAAAGTTGGAGAAATAATTCAATGACAAACAATGTGCTACATTCCCAACTTGGTAAGATCGACAAAACACGTGTAGTGTGTTTTCATGTTAGTAAAACATGTAAATAGTTTGATGGGAAGTCCAAACAACTTGATAAGGTGAATGGATAATTCAATTGCTCGATGGAAAGTTTGGATGGCTTGGTAAGATGCATGGGAAACTCTGTTAGCTTGGTCGAAGTTCCATATAGGTAAGGTGTATTAAGAACTCGGATAATTCAGTGGACTGTCCAAATAGCTTGGATAACACTTTACCGAGCTCTCTAAACTTTTGACTAAGCTATCTGAGTTCTCCATTCACCTTACCAAACTATATGAACTTTCCATCAAGATATCTGAGTTTTCCATTCAGGTTACCAGGATGTTTGGACTTTCCACTGAGTTAGACAAATATCTTGTTAACATGGGACATAGTACACGTGTTTTGCCGACCTTACCAGACTGGGGACGTGGCACATTGTTCATGACCAAGTTATCTTGTTGACTTTAAGACACAATACA